GGCTGTGGAAAAGAGTCTTTCTTGGTTACACAATTCAATTTGCGGTAATCGACGAGAAAACGAATTCCACCATCTTTCTTCTTGTGAATAATTACTGGAGATGACCACGGTGAATTAGATGGACGAATCTGACCATTTTGCATCATTTTTGGGATTTCTTCTTGCATTTCTCGGCGCTGCTGAATTGTTTTTGGGTACGAACATGAACTAATTGGAAGACTGTCACCGGTATTAATCGTATGTCGAATATTAGTGCGGGCTTGTGTTATTTTGGAGATATCGAAGATTTGTGCATGATTATTCAGAATTTGTCGAATTTGTTGCTTTTGAGAAGGGTCGTTCAAATGGTCGGTTAGTTTATCGAATGTGACTCCAGGTGTTGACGTACTGGAGGTGATGATGGAGTTCACCGAAGGTGATGTTCGGTTAAGAGATGCTGAATTCTCAAATGCATCGAAATTTGCAACATTGGGCGGTGTATAAGTCACTTGTCCTAACGTGGCATTTTTATACAGTGTCCGTGAAAATTCAGTTGGATTATAGATTTCGAGAAATGTAGAATACTTGTCGATCTTCAATAGTGCCGATGGCATAGAAATACATTTAGATTGTTGAAGGTCAATATCAGGATAAAAATAAGCAAATTGGGCGGAAGAAAGATCAAGTTTTGCTTGAACCACAATGGACTCTCGAGGAGGTATGGAGACAGAATTCAACAGTTTAAGATCTAATGCTAGAGTGTCAATTTGTTTATCGTATGGAATATAAGAGCGACCATAATACGATCGAATAGAAACTTGCTGTTTATCATATTCAATTCTTGCTCCTGTGTCGTGACACCAATTTCCACCTAGAATAAAGTCGGCGTTCAATGATTTAACCACCAATGCAGTAATAGGTGTAGTAACATCATTGACTCTGATATTTAATTTGACTTCGCCCAGTATTTTAAGTGACGTATTTTGATCAGCGAGATGTGCGGTAGATTTTGATGAGTGTATTGGCGAATGTCGCAGCTTACCGAGGGTTCCTTGAGTTATAAATGAATGTGTAGCACCAGTATCGACAAGGGCTCGGATTCTTTTCCCAGA